GGCCACTTGTGTCTCATGTGAGAGACTGTTGCAGACTTGCAGGTCACATAGTAACAAAAAAGAGAGCTGCCTTGAGCTCTGAAATGTGAACAGGCTAGTTTGTCTAAGTAACTGCCTGAAAGAGACGGACTGTAAATAAGAATGGAGTTATTGTGAGTCCAATGGGTTTATTTTTGCACTAAAATGTTTGATGATCACACCGTTTTCTGCCTAATTTTTATAGAAGAAAAACTGCACTTTATTTTGAAATTTTTATTATTATTTAAAGACAATACCATTTAAAAAATGTACTAAAAGTACTTAAAATAGCACTTTATTTCTAAGTCTGCCCAATTTTGGCCAGGGATATTATTTTTGTTTCTCTGTTTTGCATTTAAATGCAGTTTTCCCCCCATAAATCAGGTAACGCAATCATTGCCTTGGCTGTACATGGCGAGCATGCTTACTGATGACTTGTTTTTGCTCAGTTTTGGTCAGCTGGGCTGTCACTGTGGGATTAGGCAACTCCAGATGGGAGAAATATAACGTTTTACTCAGGGCGAAATAGTGTTTTATTCTGCTTTGCTTTGATTATATCATGTCGTAGACATGAAATGTTCTGTGTTTTTTTTGTAGTGTGCTTTAGAAGAAAGTGTATTTTTGTGTCTGCAGCACATATGTTGTCCAGACTCATCAGTGAGGATATGTGACTATAGTCAGGAAATAGAGCTTTTAGACAAGTACTAACTGTTGTATTATAACCCGACCAACCTTTACTAATGCAAAGCTATTTTTAATGTGTAACTGTAACCAAGTAAAGTATTTTTTAATTATTAAGATATTAAAAATAATACAAATCATGGCTGAAAATATGATGTCAGCAGCAAAATGATTTGCTTCACAATCAGTCTCTCTAACTTTTAATGTGGAGGTTAGAGGTTTCTTGCTTTTTAAAAGTATAACATATTCATTTTGTAAACATGAACACCAAATTGGTACATGTGATGAAAAAAACATGTTACGGGACATACAAATAGTTTGGTGAAATTTGTGTTCAGGAGCATGAAGAAGGATTTCATGAACTAACTTTGAGTTTGCTTAGTTTTTGGAGGCAGTTTGCTAGGGATGAATGTCTGTTCCCCAACCAAGTGGTTACTGGAGATACCACTTTTTTATGTCCGATACCGATATCATAAATTTGGATATTTGCCAATACCGATATGAATCTGATATAGTTCATTTTATAATCAACAAAACTGTTTGTTTATTTTAATATCTTGCTGCATTTTGTATGAGTTCACACTCAAGTTTTAAAAAAACAAACACTAAAACTATTCTGTTATACCTGTATGCAAAAAATACACTGCACCCAAAATATTTCATAGTTCAGCAATACTGATCAATCTAATTTACTTAAACCTACACCATCCAACCTATTCTGGTATTCTAAACAGTACTTAGCAGAAATATTAAACAACCTTACTAATAGGGTTGCAAACTCCCAGCAAAAACAAAAGGAAACCACCCCCCTGATAATGCTTAATCGGCGCAATCTACTTTAATTTAATGTACGTGTAAAACAAATGCA